ACAAGTTGATTAACCAGCTATCTGACTAAAGGGGGAAAAATTGCCTGATATTATCTGCATAAAAATAAACTTGGATGCTAATTTAGTAATTATTTAGTGATGAAATTTATAAATAATTTTGTCATTGTCTTCAAGTACGAAGACATATTCCAATTGTATCGAATGTTTAATTAAAATACCAGAGCTATAGTACGGAGGGTTACAGAATATTATGATTTGATCATCAGATGGAGGGAAGGTATAACACAGCACAAGTCTTAAAAGGGAGGGGGGGTCATCTAACTGGGTCCGCCCACTTTACAAGACTACCAGATGCACGGCTAGTTGATTAGAATTCACTGACCATTTTCTTAAATTCTACACAGATATTCTATTTCTCGGTAGATATCTCGAAAATAGAACAATACCTTCTGTTGTCAGACGACAGAATGGTTGGACTAACTCCACGAATGTCAGGTTGTTCTTTTGACATAGAACCTCGGCATCTGGACTGCACAGGACAGCCACGGCCGGGCTGAACGTGTTCTGGATAAACTCTTGGGCTGTTTGTTTACACTGAGCCATGGCTCTTGTAAAAAGGATAAAGAGTTAGAGATAATGCATCAATCAATTTCGTAATTTATGAACCAGGGATTCTCCTCAGCTGCCATCTTTGCTTGTTGAACATGCGCTTGGTCACATTTCCGGAAAAGGGAGGTAACTCAATTGCAAAAAAGATTGGGCGGATCTAAGTTCTTTAAATATTTAATTTCCTTCTAAGATTTTATCAAGGCCTAATCATACCAAGAAATTTAAGTAGATACATACTTAATGGAGCATGCCTATATGTCATAAGTATTTTTTTCAACCTCTGTTTATTTTAAACATCCATATCATTCCAAAAGAATAAACTTAATTTAAATTAAAAATGAAATCTGGAATTTATTTTTTTTCATTCATTAAAATCATAAATCACATGCATTTGATCATGACCAACTAGTTTCCATATACAACATACACATATACCCCATCCTCATGCTTTCAGCTTCAACTTAAGATAACGAATATGCAAACTTTCAGAATACATCAAGGTTACATGGCATCTTCTCGATCATTTAGCACAAAATGGTTTTTTTTTGCCTGTCCCTCTCTTTGTCCTTTTTTACCCCTTGCTTTACATCTAATGAACTATAGAGACACTGATGACTAATTCCATTCATGCACTAGCAAAACCTCGCGAGTTAAAAATCAATAAACATACTGCATGGCTCCACAATAGATAGTTTTCGATTGACCAAGAGTTACTTCCCGTTGGCCGCCATACTGGAGGTCCAAACGCTCATATTCCTTCATTGTTCAACCAATTTAAAATTTTTATATTTGCTATTCTGAATTAGAAATCATTATTTTTCTGAAGTATATAAATTTTTGGAAGCCTCCTTTATTTAAGAAAAATTATTTGATAAAGATTTTCCACCAAATATTTCTGCTTTAGTTTCTTAAATTTGGTAAGACAAAAGAGGGAAAATCACTGTAATATTAACTTTCGCTTAATTCAGGCCTATCGAAAACTATCTATACTCAATAAAGTCTCACTGGATGTAAATTGGTAGATATAAAAGCCTTACGTTAGCGATTTGATCCACAAATATAATTGTAGATTTATCTCTAATGGAACTCATTTGACCTTTAGTATTGATGCACTCAAGTAAACAGTTTATCACAATCAATGTTTAGGAAAGAAACCGTACTGCAATCAATATTAAGCAATTGGCAACTACATGTAGCTCGACTATTGATATAAAAAAAAATAAGAAAAGATCACTATTAAAGAATCAGCACTGATTTTATTATGCCATTGTAGTTCAATCTAAATAATTCAAAATGAGACAAAACATATAAAAACATACCTAATAAATTAAAACCTACTGACGCATAATTATCACCCACACACACAGACATACATACATACAAGCAAAACAAGCTGGATTCAATCATCTACTTCAAAAATTTTTCAAAGGAATTAGAGGATCACTCTACCTTAACATCCATGTCTTACTCAATTCAAGTTATTGTGCAAAAAATGCCACAAAATGTCCATCCCTTTTAATAGTACAATTCCCCATTTTCAAAAGTGAGTTATCTCCCCTCGAAATCGGAACTCTTCTACACAGGCATAGCTTCCGCGGACTACGCATTACGATAATCCAACAAAATAGTGATAAACTTACACGCTACATTTAAAAAATTTAAAAGAAGGAAACGGTTTGCGAAAAAAATGAGATAATTAACGATTTTATAAAGGATCTGTTAGCCCCCCCTTTCTAGATAGCGATAAGAATTAGCCAGGCACGTAGCATCGTCTTTAAAAGTGGGGGGGGGGGGGGGGGGGGCAGCCAGAGAATTTTTTTTTTACTTACCTGGAAAAGTTGACAAGCAAAAAAAAAAAAAACCTTGCCCAAAGTCGAAAAAAGCTACTTATTTCAGTACCAATTCCTTGGCATACAATACTACATTTCCCTTATATAACTTTACCGTAGTATAAACTGGGGGGGGGGGGCTGTCTCTCAAAGAATTTTTTTTAATAATAAAAGTAATGTTCGGAAAAAAGTGGGGGTGGAGCTAGGCGTACAGCATGTACAGAGAACGAATGTGTAAATGGGTTGAACAGTTGAATATGAACCAAGTTGTGGAAATTAAAAATCATTAGAATTATTTATTGTGAATTCAATATAATTACGATATATATATATATATATATATGTTTCTTAACAGATGTACATGTATGTCAGTTACACGATGTTTCATGAGCCTGTCTCTCTCTCTCTCTCTCTCTCCGATATTGTTTTTACACACCTTGCAAAAAGTATAAGTTATAAAAATAAATACATACACTAAAAGGATTTTAAAAACAAATATCACTTTACGAAAAGAATGTTTTAACGAACTGTATTAACGAGAAATACGCTCGGAAATTATTGTATCAATTTCGTGTTTCTGCTGTCAATTCTCTGAACAAAACAAAATAAGTGTATTTTACTCGGGAATATATATGCTTAGATCCTACAATAAAACTTTGATTAAATGCAGCTCAGATTTTATACGACATATGTAACACGAATTCAGGTCGATGCTATTTTAATTAGTCTTTCTTCGTTATATGAGCACATGAGATTAAATTATGCATTTAGAATTTCATTCAAAGTTTTAATACTATAAAGTGAATCAATTATTTTTCAAATGTAAATTTCTAGAAACACCGTTAATTCAAATGAAATAGGCCTTCAATTGTCACCAAATGTGTTCGTGTAAGTAAACTATGTTATGACATACAATCGAGCAAAATCGCAGTTTCTTGATGTCGGTCGCGGAAGACGAACTACTGCTGTATATGCAGCAATTTCAGAGGAAAAAATGTAGATGGACATGTCTTCAATCTCCAAAATATTCCTAGAAATGCAAAGAAGAAAATATGGCTGCAACAGACTAGGTTAAGTCATAAAAACTCTATAACTGTACAAAAAATTCTTAAATTTGTTCTGCACATTTTGTAAATAATGACGATCCGTCTGCAGAACATCCACTACCGAAAATGAAATTTTAGCTTTTGTTTTTTAAAAAAATAGGCTTATTCATATATGTTTCAGCATTTTATCAGTAATCTGTTTCGTTTTTTATTTTTGTAAGAGGGGGGGGGGATCACACAGCGCCTTATTATACTAGTATACAGATTAATACAAATCCAGAAAGAGGCTATGAGTGAGCAATTTTAAATAAATACATCTTTTTATTCACAAACACAATAACAGTTTGTCATATGACAGAGGCATTACACCATGCACATGTGTACATCAAGAACGTCCGCGGAAGTGACTTTCGTTTTAGCGCATGTGTATTAAACACAGTAAAAGAGTTCCCTTCAGGGGGAATAACTCACCTTTTGAAAATGGGGAATAATGTATAAATTTCAGTGCACTGTATCATTGTACATGGAAATATGAAAGACTGAAAGTAGTATGAAAATGGTTGATGGCAAAATCACATTCCAGCAATTATTTATACAAAGATTATAAAAAAAAATTAAGCTGATATAAAAATGCACTATTTTCAAGAATACTAAATAATTGTAAATGGTATAAATTGTATGCAGATACATGTAATATAAAATGTTTGACTAGTTTATCTATTAATACCATATTTCAACAATTAATCATAGAAACAAACATTCTTGAATGACTCACTCATGTACATGTATGCTTTTTTCCACACACTCTTAGCCTACAATGGAATGATACATATACCATTAGGTACCCACTCTCACACACATGAACAAACACAAGCACAAGCACACACTCACTAAAACATAGTAACAGAGGTACAGATTTGAAACAAGATCAAAACAGTTCCATCAGTATCAAACATTTCAAAAAATATAACTGTATGTAATCTATTGTAACGGTGAATTAATAACTACATTAAGGTTTATATTAGAATCACTAAAAGAGGCATTAGCCATGCTTTTCTCAGAGGGTTCAAAACTTAATCCTTATGTACATGTATTTCTTTACAGTATAAAAGTATCTATTCAATGTAATATTTACATCTAATTTTTTTGTTTTTGTACAAACTTAAAGTTTTACATTGGTCATTATTATACATTCCTTTGAAACTGATTTTGATAGAAAATTGGTAAACATCAATTTCACAACTTAAAGCCTCTTTAACATGCATAATTATTAAATAGACCATCTTTTTTCAAGACTTCAAAATGTTATAAACATGTATTATGTAACAATAAAAAGAAAATTCTTTCCATTGTAGAGGTACTAAATATCTATTTTCTTTATTGTTTTAAAGATTTGAAGAGAAGGAATAATATACATCTGATATGAAGATTAATGGGATTCCTCTGAATATCTTTGGCATCTAGGAGTAACTTCTGTTAAACACTTGGTCCCTTTGTCCCATACAACATTGTGGGAAACTTTTTTAATCGGGGCTTTTTCCTCCGAGGCTTAGAGCGCCCCCTGTAGTACTGATTGAGCAGAAACAACAGTACGAGGCCAGTGCCTATAAAGGCCAGCACTGGGAACACACTGTTAGAGTCAATGTCTTGCATGGCCCCTCCTCCCCCTTGGATGTGAGGGGCCGCGCCATTGCCAAAGTTCTCCTTGGCCTCCAATGATTCAATTAAATCCTCTTCCACGTGTCTTCTCCCCAGGGGCACTGACTCGTCTAGTCCAATGGAGAGCAGCTTCTGCTGCTGGAAAAGATTTCTGCAAAAAAAAAAAAACAAGTCACATGACCTTTTAAATTACTGACCTCCTTGAATTAATGAACTTCCTGTACCATCATGCTTAGAGTGATAACTGGTAAACCCCCTCCTCTCACCATGCTGTGATAACTAGCACCTAATTTATGCAACACTGAACATCAGCTTCAAAAATTTTTTGCAAATGGAGAAATTTATCATTAATCGGTTGAATGGGAATGGGTGATTTTTGAAGACCGTAAAGTTACTTAAACTCAAGCATTTGCAAATTTAAGTACATGTGCTTTTATTTATACGTCAAGAATGCATTTTTTAAACTTAAGCCAAACAAATGAATTCTAATCACTTGTAGCTAGATCAATACTAATCTCTCAAAACTCTTTCTGTTCCTTACACCAAGTTGTTGATTTTAAAAACATTCATGAATTATATATGAAATCTTTGTACATATATTATTTAAAGAAAAGACTTAACAGTAAAAATATAAAATAATTTCAAACAATGAAATAAAGTTAACAGAAGACAAAATCATGCAAAGCAAATGTCTGTGTGAAAAGTACATAAAAATAGACTGGGAACGTTTATCAATATGGAATTCAAAGAACAAATATTTACCTTATATTTCTTGTTCTGTTCATAATTTTCAGAATTTATACATGCTATTTTGTGAAGGGAGATATGTCTCGTTTGGGAATAATGGGGATTGCATAAATGTACATATACATGTAGGTAATTGAAATATTGCACATTAAATTCGCTCAACTCATCATACTCACTCTCTGTGTGTCTGAAAAATTGTTTTGATGAAAGGGACAACAGATTAAAATACAAAAGAAAAGGTCAAAAATAAAATAGGGGATACATGTAGGTGTACAATAATTAGAATTAAACAAAGTATTAACTTAAGTCACTTACGATGGAGCTGACTTATTTATTGGGTGACTTGCTGCATAGATGACTCTTGGACATGTTGGCAAAATCCTTGACCTTGCTGTACCAAGATGACCTTCGAGCACTTTTGAGTATCGATGTAAATGGTTTCCTACAAAAGCAAAAAAAAGAAAAAAAATCATCTAATTATCTAACTTCAAATCCTTCAGCAACAAAAAATGGAAAACATGTATGAATATTTTTCTATCAGTGATTGGCTGCGTCTGCCATTACCTTCCATTCTGTTTG